ACCACTGAGCCTGTGTTCCAGAGCCCACGAGCTGCAACTACTGAAGCACGTGCTTTGCTAGAAGGGAAGCCACCATAATGAAGAGCCTGCACACGGCAAGGAAGGGTAGCCCCCACTCGCCACAACTAGAGAAAAGCCCAAGCAGCAACACAGTCCCGACACAGACAAAAATAAAGTAAATACATTTAAAAATAAATAAATAAAACTTCTGTGCAGCAAAAGATAATTTAAAATAAAAGCATTATGAATGAATAGACAAAATGTGGTATATACAAACAATAAAATGTTATTCAGCCTTAAAAAAGAAGGAAATTCTGATACATTCTACAACAGGGATGAGCCTTGAGGACATTTTGCTAAGTGAAAGAAGCCACTTACAAAAATGCAAAGACTATATGACTCCTCCGTTTTTATGAGGTACCTGGAATATTCATAGAGACAGAAAGTAGAACTATGGTTGTGAGGGGCTAGGGAGAGAATGGGGAGCTATCATTTAATGGGTACAGCATTTCAGTTTTGCAAGATGAAGAGTTCTGGAGATGGATGGTGGTAATGCTTGCACAACAATATACATGTCCTTAATAACACAGACCTGTGTACTTAAATATGGTTAAAATGGTAACTTTTATATTATGTATTTTACCACAATAAAAAAAATTTGGGAAAAGGAGCATTACACTAGAAGAAATATTTGCATCCTCTATGAGAGACAGCAGGTTAAGAAACTGCATACCTGTAGAGCTTCTGCAGGAAACAGAAATAAGAGAAAACAACTCTATAGGAAAGTGAGCAAAGGACATGCACAGGTAACTCACAGAAGAAACGCACAATCCGTAAGTATTTAGAGATATTAAACTGCAGCAGTAATCAGCAAAATGCAAATTGAAATGTCTTACTGAGTTTCACTCATTCACCAGATTCGAAAATTCAAACACAAAATGATAATACCCGGTGTTAAGAAGGATGAGGAAAACAAATTCTCATGTGCTGAGTTTAAATTATTAATAGTACCTAGGGGAGGTCAGCTGTGCAATTTTAAGAGTTTTATCTATCACATTGAAAAATGGATAAACTGTTTGATTCACAAATCTCTCTCCTAGGATATTACACTCGGGCTTAAGCACAAAAGTGAATTCCCATTTTCCCTGAAGCACTGTTGCTAATGCTGAATAATTTTAATTAACTTCAAAGTCCATTAATAAGTGAAAGGGTGAATAAATATCTCTAGCTAACATAATTAGAAATAAGAATAAATATTATTACTTTAGAAAGTAGCCATTAATACAAGAGGTACATACAGACATGACAGAGGTCTAAAACTTGGAGGTGAAAAGGGAAGCTGCACAATGATAGTAAGATCTCATTTACATTTATTAAAATATAGTATATATACATATTGGAGAAGGAAATGGCAACCCACTCCAGTATTCTTATCTGAAAAATCTCATGAACAGAGGAGCCTGGCAGGCTACAGTCCATGGAGTCGCAACAGTCACACAGGACTTAGCAACTAAACCACCACATATACATATATTTGCAAATGTATACCAAAAAAAAAGTCTTGGAATAATAGGTACCAACCTGAAATCTCCCTCTTCTGAGTGAGAATAGGAGTAACAAAGGTAGTTCTACATTTTCCCCCTATACTTCATATATATATATTCATTTATTATTTGTATTATTTTTAAAACATAGAAAATAAAACAGATAAACTAGAGTAAATAACTGCTGAAAACCAATAGAGAGTTGTGAACACAAGGACACAGCTTCTGTAAAAGAAATCTGTGCTATAGAGCTATGAGGAATCCTGCTTGGATGGAGGGGAATTTCTCACAACTATTTATCTGTCTCATATTTCCCCATTTCATATATGTTTTTCAGTCAAAAAGGACTTCCTCCAGGGAAAGCAGGGCCAGGGCTCAGCGTTCCTGTAAAGTGAATAAGATAACACTTGCTCAGCTTTCCTTCTGCTCGAGCCTACAACATTCCCACAAGGAAAATACACTCCTCTTGTCAAATCACAGTACCGCCTCTTTCAGAACCATGATCGTTTTCCTGATTTGGTTCCTTTTTCAGGACAAATGGGCTACAAAAAACAACAGAGACTTTGGGACACCTCTGAGCACCACTGCAGGTGTCCCCAGTCCCTCAGGTTAAAGAGGTAGAAGGAAAAACCCAGTGTGCAAGTAAGTATTCTCCCCAGTGTGGCTCCAGTCCCCACTGGACACCTAAGACAGCCGTTTCAGCTCAAGGTGGCCGTTGATACAGAAGGTTCAGACACATCTGCTGAGACAACAGGAGTCAGGACAGGTACCACAAGGAGGCAATTTACAGCTGAGAATTAGCCCTATCCAACAATGAAATGTTAGGTGGTGAGCTCCCTGCCCCTGGAGGCATTCTAACAATGCTGAAAGCTATCAGCGGAGGTGCCCAACTCAGCCTGCCCTTGAAGATTCTGAGTAGGTAACTGAGCCTGGTGTCCAGTGCTTTTAAAGACTCCAAAAATAATTCTGGGGCACAGCTAAGTCTGGAAACCCCTGGCCACTATGACCATTTGGTGCCCTTCAGATTCAAGGGTCTCTGAGTGTAGATTAAAGCAACTCAGGAGAGGCGAAGCACTTTCAGGAAAGAGTGCTACAATAATGAAGCACCATACGTGGGGGGCGGGCGGGGGGCCCTCCACAAAGGGTCCTAAAGTTTGAGACACAGACAGTGGTTACAGGCAGCCCCCAAAGCCAAATCCTGACTCCATCACTTGCTAGCTGTGTGACCACAGACAAGTTGCTTAACTTCTCTGGACCTCAGTTTTCTCACTGATAAAATCAGACTGGGAAAACTGTTACCCACCTCAATGGTGAAGCTTAATCACGCTAGTATATGTACAGTACTTAGTGCCTGGTCCATAGGTAGTGTGAACAATTATTATTTCGTAGAGGAGGAAACAGACGCTGAGGCCATAAGTTAACCTGACCCACGTCCTAAAGTCAGTTTAGACTTGAGAATAAGACCCACAGCCTCTTTCCTTCTAGCTCAAATTAAATACACCACATTCAGTTCTATCATAGCCTCTGACTACACTGATCCCTCTTGGGTTGGAGAATTAACTTGTTCAAGCTTCTTCAAGCTTGTCAGTTACCAGGCATCCTTGCCCCATGGCCCTGAGTACTGCGCCTCCGGCCACAGGACAGGCAGGCAGGACGGATGGAGGTACGAGCGGGCCGGGGATCGTCAAGAAAGGGCTCTCAGTGCTCCGCGACGTCACGGCCACCGAAGCCAGCTCTATGGTCTTGGACAAGTTACTGAACCCCTCCTTGCTTTTTGCCTACGAAAGGGCTGTCTGTGCAAGTGTGAGAGGCGGCGCGGTTACAAATGCAAGGCTTCCATCGCCCAACCAGCCAACTCGGTGCTCCTTCCATTCGCTCGGCGTCTACACCACCGCATCCCCAGAACTTTCTCGACTGCACCTGCGTGTGAGCGCCTCCCGCTTCCAGGTATAGAGGGAGGTGGAGGGAGGTCGCCGACCGAGAGAGGTATGACCGTCAGGTAGGCGTTAAAGGAGCGCGAGGGAAGGCTGGAGACCGCAATTAATTCCCCATTAACTTCGGGGTGCTGGGAGCGAGGCAAAAGTGGGTCAAATGGGAATTTTAACCTCACAAATATCCCCCGACTGCCTTGCGAAGGACGCGGTGGAATGGGGACCGTAAACGCAGGGTGGGCACCGTCGTGGCGACCCCAGCGGCGTGCGCTCTGGCAAGAATGCGTAGTTGCGCACCCGGCCGCGGGTCCTCGGCGAGGACCCCTCGAAACGCCTTCTCCGGGCAGAGCGAATTCCCCAGCCCAAGCAAACGCGAGGCCTCGGGGCACCGAGCAGGAGAGCAGGGGGCTGAACTCCGGGCCGCGTCTAGACGGCGAGGGCCGGCGGAGAATCCACGGAGGCGGGCGGCGCGCGCGGAGGCGAGCGGGGTGCGCGGTCGGGTACTCACCCCGCGCGGGCCGAGGGCTCCGCGAGCCAGGCCGAGTCGTCGGCGGCGGGGCTGCCGAGCCGCGCTGCGAGGCCCGGGCGAGGGCGGGTGCGGACGTGCAGGGCCGGCCCCGCGCCCGGCCTATGAATCAGCTGCGGGGCGCGCGCCCAGGGGCGGGAGTTACGGGAAAGCCGCGGGGGAGGGCAGAGGCCCGAGGACTTTTGCAATTTCCCGTCTCGCTGCGCACTCTTGGCACTCCTGGGACCCACAGGAATTCTCTTCCTTTGGGTCTCCCGGGGGGAGAGCGGATGGGACCCAGCAGAGGTGCGGGACCCCGGGCCTCGGCGGCCGGGCGTGGACCGGTGCGAAAGGAAGTGGGCGAGGCCTGGGAAGGAAAAGTGGAAACCGAAAACGGCGGGCCGGGCACCCGGGCGGGGGCTGCGGCCCGCAGGCCGGCCACCCGGGCCGGAGCAGAGCGGAGCGAAGCGGGTGGGATCCCGTGGGGCCAAGCCAGTGGGATCCCGCGGGGCCACTTGTTATCCCGGCCTGGAGGCACACCCCCTGGGCTTCCCGGCAGAGATTCTTTGGGCACAGACAAGCGCCCCAGGCAAACTTCCGACTGTGTGGAGTTCAGAGCAATAAAATCTGAGTTCTAGGATCCTGGTTCGCGTTGCTCCCTAGAAACTCCCTGGCAGACGCAGTTGCCCTTGCAGGAACTGTCCCGTAGCCTTACACAAAGAGCTACGTGTGCTATAACGTGGCTTATTTTTCTCTTAATAATGCCATTTAATCTTTGAAATACATATTTCAAATACAGTGCCCTTGAAATGCATATTTGCCCTCTCTTCATAGTTACATGGGGTTTACCTGATGGTACAGTCCGTGAAGAATCTGCCTACAATGCAGAAGAACCTGGTTCCATCCCTGAGTGTGGTCGATCCCCTGGAGAAGGAAATGGCAACCCACTCTAGTATTCTTGCCTGGCAAATCCCATGGACAGAGGAGCCTGGCAGGCTACACAGCCCACGGGGTTGCAAGAGTTCAACAAGACTTAGCCACTAAACCACCACCACCACCGTAGTTATATGACGGACTAGCTAAAGGCATATCCACCTGGGATCTGGTATGGAAACCATCTAAATACAGCTGCTGTGGTGCCACCCTTGGACCCAGAGGGAGATTGGTGGGGCTGGGGTGTTGGGCAGGGGTGCCTTGCAGCTCTGAAGTCTTGCCCATGGGACCTGGCTCTGGCTGACTAAGCCTGATGAGAAGGTGCTGCAAAGTACCACAGTGATTGGGATAACTAGGAGTAATGGTTTCCCTGGTGGCTCAGATGGTAAATCGTCTGCCTGAAATGCGGGAGACTTGGGTTTGATCCCTGGGTTGGGAAGATCCCCTGGAGAAGGAAATGGCAACCCACTCCAGTACTCTTGCCTGGAAAATTCCATGGACAGAGGAGCTGGTGGGCTATAGTCCATGGGGTCACAAAAAGTCGGACACGACTGAGTGACCTCACTCACTCACTCAGGAGTAATGGAGAAGGACCACCCATGAATCATATCTTAGAATCATTTCTTGAATTGATGGAATGGCTCAAAATGTCAGAATCCGTCCAAATGATTTTGTGTTTAAAGCCCAAATACTTTTATGTTTGTCCACGTTTATTGCTCCTCCCAATGCCATCCCAGGGAAAGAGTTCTTTTTAGACAGGTTGTATCTGATGATGCCACTAAGACCATGGTGCATATAATAAATAGTTAATGATAATGAAGTTAAAGGTACTCTTGTCTAAATAAATGTAAGGTACTTTGCCACACCTCTCATTAAGAGTTTTAGGAGTCCATTAGTTTAGCCATCTGGCTATGGACGCTCTGTCAAACCACATCCTGAGGGTGAGGAAGGCTTTCTGATTGACTTTTTCATAGAGTGAAAAAAAAAGTTAATTTCTTCTTTATAGGAACAGAGGAGTGTTTCTTAGAGCATATGCCATGCCAAATAAAAAGTACTGAGTGTGATGAATTTCTGCAAAGTGAGTCTTAACTTGCTTTGGATTCCTCTAACTATCGAAAGAAACAAGTTGCAAAATATTCCCTGCTGTTGGCTCAGGACCCTCCAGTTCCCCTGTTGAAATTCTAAATTGGCCCCCTTACACAAAGGTCAAGGAGAGGCAGACCCATTCAGATTGGTTCAGTTCAGTTCAGTTCAGTTGCTCAGTCCTGTCAGACTCTTTGTTACCCCATGGACTGCAGCATGACAGGCATCCCTGTCCATCACCAACTCCCGGAGCTTGCTCAAACTCATGTCCATTGAGTTGGTGATGCCATCCAACCATCTTGTCCTCTGTCATTCCCTTCTCCTCCTGCCCTCAATCTTTCCCAGCATCAAGGTCTTTTCAAATGAGTCAGTTCTTCACATCAGGTGGCCAAAGTACTGGAGTTTCAGCTTCAGCATCAGTCCTTCCAGTGAATATTCAGGCCTGACTTTGTAGGTGGCAGTTTAAATAAGCAAGGAACTCACATAGGAGGCTTGTCTCCCACGGTAGTGAGATGAATACATCTCCAAATCTCCTCACCCACCTGCCAGAATCTTAAAAGTTATATCGAAGCCTTAATGGGGTTGAGTCCTGTGTATAGACCCCATGATCTCAACAACACATTGTTCTCTCAAGGTTGCATCCTTGCAGATGGCTCCTGGTACAGATACAGACAGCAGAACATATATTCCACAGACAAGGGAGGGGATAAGGAGGCTCTGATTGTCTGGGTTTGGAGGGTCAACCAGTGGAGACATCCTCTCGGTGACATCCTTCAACAGGTGTCCACATAAAATTCACTTATTTGGTGCACCATTCTAGTTCCTTGCATATACTCCTCTTTCTAGAGATTAGTTAGTATAGCACCTGTAAATCTGCGATCATTCCCTTAGGATGATGTACTAGGTTGAATAGTGTCCTCCAAAAATTCATGTCCACCCAGAATTTCAGAATATGACCCTATTTGGAAATATAGATTTTGCAAATTTCATGAAGTTGGGACTGGATTAACCCAATGCCTGTTATTCTTATAGGAAGAGGAAAATGTGGACACAGAAACCCAGGAGGAACACCACGTGATTCCTGAGGTAGAGATTGGAGTTAGTCTGCCTCAAGCCAAGGAACACCAAGGATCACTGGCCAGCAGCAGAAGCCAGGAGAAAGGTACAGAGAAGTATGGTTTTCAGCACAGTTTAATATGTTGTCTAAACAAAGAGCATTAAACAAGTCAGGGATACATTCCTTTAAGGTTACATTAAAGGATACATTTATATCCTTTAAAAGGATACATTCCTTTTTTTTAAAAAAAAAAAAAACAGATCACCATGTACACAGGGAGTTAGTATGGCCTTGGCACCTGGAAAGGGAGTCTTGTTATTGAAGGAGTATCAGCCTTGGTATCCCAGGAATGGAGGCATTTAATGATGCATTTAATCTTTATTTTTAACATGGACATTCTTCTGGTCAGTGCCCTTTTCTTTCATAATTAAAGCAAATGGACAATGTATTTTTTTTCTGAATTTTTTTTTTATTGAAGGATAATTGCTTTACAGAATTTTGTTGGTTTCTGCCAAACATCAACATGAATCAGCCATAAGTATACATGTGTCCCCCTCCCTCTTGAACCTCCCTCTCATCTCCCTCCCCACCCCACCCCTCTAGGTTGTTACAGAGCTCCTGTTTGAGTTCTCTGTGTCAGAGACAGACTGTTTTAGTTAGCATTAAATTCAGATTAACTTGTGTATAAGCCAGAATGACTTCCCTAAATACCTCAATATACAAAAATTCCCTTTAATCATTTCCCTGTTCCTTTTTCATTCTCCATCTGTCTCCTAGGTGTTGGCCTGTCCCAGGGCTCCATCGTTGACTCTCTCCTCTGAATCCACACAGTCTCCCGAATGATCATGTCCATGCTCCTGATTTCCATGGTCACTTGTGCTCTGAAGACCCTTGAATCTTCCTCTCCATTGCAATTATTTCATCTGAACTCCAGACCAACTTATTTGTACATCAAAATCAATATGTTCAAGTTCAAATGCTTCACTTTTCCACCTTTGATTCTCTTATATTAAGTGAATGCCCCAACCTTTAACTCAGATACCAAATCAAAAAACCTGGGAATGATTCTTGATCCATCCTTCCTCATCTACCCTCTTTAACCTGAAAGTCTCATATATGTAATTGCTGCTGCTGCTGCTGCTAAGTCGCTTCAGTCGTGTCCGACTCTGTGCGACCCCATCGATGGCAGCCCACCAGGCTCCCCGCCCCTGGGATTCTCCAGGCAAGAACACTGGAGTGGGTTGCCATTTCCTTCTCCAATGCATGAAAGTGAAGTCGCTCAGTCATGTCCGACTCTTAGCGACCCCATGGACTGCAACCTACCAGGCTCTGTCCTTGGGATTTTCCAGGCAAGAGTACTGGAGTGGGGTGCCATTGCCTTCTCCGATATATATAACTATTGTTGCCACAATCTTGGCCCTCTGTCCATTGGTACCAATAAAGAATACGGAAACAGAGTTTGGAGAAAATAGAAAAATGGCTTTATCTTTGCCCGGCAAAGGGGAATATGTAGCAGACTAGCACCTCAAGTACTGTGCCCCATCTCTGGGGAAAAGGTTTTATATCCTCATGAAGGTCTGGCAGTTTTATTCTTTCTTTGCAAAGTTTCAAAACAGCTACAGCTGGCCTGAGGCAACTCAGTAACCGGGTCTGGTTTCCCTGAAATAATTGGCCCATGGCCTTTTTTCTGAAATGCAGAATGCTCCAAGTGATTGTGGGGGAACAAGAATGCCAGGTGTGGGGTGTACTCTATATGGAGTCAGAGAGTAATTCACTTTGTGAAAGACAAGCCCAACTACAAGTGTTTGTTAGTGGTAACAGCTAAAGAATGACCAAGATTGTTTTAACTCTTGCAGACCTGTTTGGCTGGTATGTGCCAAAGGCCATTCGCTCACTTCCATTTTTGCTGCAACACTATGACAGGAGAGGCATGAGTGGAGTGTTAGTTAGCCTTACCCTGTCCAGTTTCTCAGGGGAAATACAGTTCTATAAGTATCAGGAATATTATGTAGATCTGTCTATGGATGTAGATATGGAAGAGGGCATGACAACCCACTCCAGTATTCTTGCCTGGAGAATCACTATGGACAGAGGAGCCTGGCGGGCTACAGTCCATGGGGTCGCAAAGAGTTGGACACAACTGAAGCAACTTAGCATGCACATAGATATAAGAAATAATGTATGTAAGTTGTGAGTATAAATTATTATTCTATTTGTTCAACTGCTACAAATATCTATAATTACATATTTGGCAGTATTTGGTAACCAGACTGATGGAATTTGAAGGAATTGGGAGTTTTCTGAAGAAAGTGGCTTCATAAAGTAAGTAGTGGATGATGATTTACAATTACCTTCATGGATAAGAATTCTCTATTTCTTCTTGGGTGTTATCACATTTGATATTGTAAAGATTCACTTTTAGGTTTTAAAGGATGCTTCTCTGGTTATGATTGTTGGTGACATTGGCATTATTTCTAGGAAAACAATGGAAATTAAAATGTTATTTGGTAAATGTATTCTTTTTTTTTTTTTTTATTAGTTGGAGGCTAATTACTTTACATCATTACAGTAGTTTTTGTCATACATTGAAATGAATTAGCCATGGATTTACATGTATTCCCCATCCCGGTCCCCCCTCCCACCTCCCTCTCCACCCGATCCCTCTGGGTCTTCCCAGTGCACCAGGCCCGAGCACTTGTCTCATGCACCCAACCTGGGCTGGTGATCTGTTTCACCCTAGATAATATACATGTTTCAATGCTGTTCTCTTGAAACATCCCACCCTCGCCTTCTCCCAGAGTCCACAAGTCTGTTCTATACATCTGAGTCTCTTTTTCTGTTTTGCATATAGGGTTATCATTACCATATTTCTAAAGTCCATATGTATGTGTTAGTATACTGTAATGGTCTTTATCTTTCTGGCTTACTATATTGCAAAAAACAAAACAGGAATTTTGAAAAGTTTCTAATCTAAAATATATCATAAATCTTGATTATCTGAGACAGTTATCATTTCCAAATATGTATATTTTTTAAAAAATCAAAAACAAACAAAAAAGGGAGCTGACAAAAAAGCAAGATGTTGAATGTTATAGGGTCCCATGGAGCTTTCATATTTTAGAATTTCAGACGATTCCTTTAAGTACTTGAGTTTGAATTGCTTTCCTTCAGTGTCTGTTAAGTGGATTTAAGTGAGGGATAACAGCATCCTTAATAGTTCTAAAGGAGGTTCTTGCTTGAACTAAATTATTAGTGGAAGATTGGTTAAAGAAGTGATTCTTTCTACACATTCCACCCTCTCCTGCGTATTCCAATAGTTTTCACACCTTATTCCAGAAATCATCAGAAACCAGACCATAGTAGTAGTGTTAGTTGCTCAGTTGTGTCCAACTCTTTGCGATTCCATGGACTGTAAGCCTGCCAGGCTCCTCTGTTCATGGGATTTTCCAGGCAAGAATACTGGAGTGGGTTGCCACTCTCCTCTCCAGAGGATCTTTCTGACCCAGGGATCAAACCCAGGTCTCCTACATTGCAAGCAGATTCTTTACCGTCTGAGCTACAGGGAAGTCCTGATAAGAATAATGGAGTGGGGAGCCATTCCCGTCTCCAGGGGATCTTCTGAACCCAGGGATCGAACGTAGGTCTTATGCAGATGGATTCTTTACCGTCTGAGCCACCAGGAAAGCATTTTGGATCTTTTTTTTTGCTCCATGAGCTTTAGGGATAATGTTGAATATGTGTTTTCTTGGATAGCTGCTTTTATTCTTTTGGCCTGTGGTTATGGGGATTAATAAAAATGAGCATAGCAATTAATACTACAGGACAGAACATTAATCCAGTCAGGAAGGAAGTACTTTGAGGGAGAGTCAGGTGGGAACTTTGGAAACTTTTGAAAATAATTTGCTAAACTTGACCTAAAATAAATCTATAGTCATGTTCATATTGACATTTAAACAGCATCTCTTATTGAGAGCGTGTAGTTGGAAGTTTTTTAAAAAGTACATTCTCTGCATTTTAATTTGATAGAGAGTGTTTAGCACACTTACATTTAAGGTAATTATTGATATGATTGAGTTAAACCTATCACTTTACTCTATATTTTCTCTTTCATTCCCCCTGCTTTTTATCCTTCTGTTTCTCCTTTTCTGCCTTCTTTTACATCATATGAATTTTTAAAAGAATTTTATTTTAAATTTGCCTTTTGGGTTTTTGTTGTTCCTCTTTACAGACCTTTTTGGTATATGGCCTAATGGATTAAGATATACATCTTTAATTTTTACTGTTTGCTTGAGATAATATTAAACTCTTTCACCTACCAAGTTCATTTAACCATGCTTCTTGACCTTTATGTTATAGTTATAAAATGTATTATGTTTATGACAAGATAAAACTGGCATGTATTATGTATTTTAAAGAAACTAAGAGGAAAAACAGTCTTTTATATTTACATGTTTACCTTTACCCCAGTGTTCTTCAGTCTTCCCAAGGATCCAAGTTTTCATCTGTTCTTGTTTCCCTAAGCCTGCAGAATTTCCTTTAGCGTTTTTAAGTGCAGATATGGAGATATACTCTCTTCGTTGTGTGTGTGTGTGTGTGTGTGTGTGTGTGTGTTTAATGTCTTTACTTCATCTCATCCAGTTCCCCTGGTGGCTCAGATGGTAAAGAATCTGCCTGCAGTGCGGGAGACCTGGGTTGGATCCCTGGGTCATGAAGATCCCCTGGAGAAGAGCATGGCAACCCACTCCAGTATTCTTGCCTGGAGAATCCCATGGACAGAGGAGCCTGGCGGGCTACAGTCCATGGGGTCACGAAGAATCAGACATAACTGAGTGACTGATACTTCACTTCATCTCATCCTTGAGGGATGTTTTTGCTGGGTATAGGATATTCAGTTGACAGCTTTTACCTTTCAGACTTTTAAAATGTTGTTCCATGATTTTCTGATCTCTATTGTTTCTGTTGAGGAGTTGTCAATTATTCAAATTATTATTCCCCTCTGTATATAATCTGTCATTTTTCTGTGGTTACTTTCAATATATTTTCCTTCTTTTTGGTTGTCAGTATGACAATGATGTGTTTAGATATTTTTAAAAAATTATTATCATTATTCCTCAGACTTGACATTTGTTGAGCTTCTTGAATATGTAAATTTATGTCTTTTACCAAATTTGAGAAATTCTCAACTAGTATTTCTTCAAATTTTTTCCTACTCTTTTATCTTTCTCATCTCTCTCCTAGAATCCAGTTACTCATATGTTAGACGTCTCCCTTCATACAGTCCCAAATGCCCTGGGACTTTATTGTCTTTACTTTTTTTCTTCGGGTTTTTTAGACTGGAAAGCTTCTATCAAACTTCATTTAAGCTTACTGACTCCTCTCCTCTCATCTTAGTTTTGCTATCAAATTCATCTACTAAATTTTGTATGATAGGTAGTGTATATTTCGTTCTCAAATTTTTCTTTTTTATATATATTTTCTATTTCTTTCCTGATATTTACTATCCTTTAACTCATGCTGGGCATATTTTCCTTTACCTCCTTGAGCATAGTTCTAATTACTGCTTTTAGAGCATTACTTGGTTATTCTAACATCTAGACATCTTAGAATCAGGCTATATTGATTGTGGCTCGAATGAGAATGTATCACATTTCCTGGTTCGGTTATTTATTTTTTGGATTGTCAAGTACTTTTGGATTACACCCTGGAAATTGGAAATATTATGTTATGAAAATGGATTCTGTTACATTCCTCCAGTGACATTGATTTTCTTTGTTAAATGGGCAGTTAATGTGGTTAGGGGCTTCCCCATGGCTCAGCAGTAAAGAATCTGCCTACTGTGCAGGAGATGCAGGAGATGTGGGTCCAGTCCCTGGATTGGGAAGATCCCCTGGAGGAGGAAATGGCAACCCACCCCAGTATTCTTGCTGGGAAAATCCTATGGATAGAGGAACCTGCATAGGGTCACAAAAAGTCAGGCACGACTGAGCAATTGAGCAGCTGCAGAATGTGGTTAGACTCAAACTGCAAACAAGATATTGATTGCAGTAGTAGCAGCTCAAATCTAAATTCACGGTTTTGTTTTTGTTTTTTTGGTGGGGGGCTTGTTTTTAGCTAGGCTGTTTTGAATTCTGTCATGGGCACAGTCATGATTCATAGTTTATCAATGATGTAAGTTTAAGCACAGAATATAAGCTTT